GGGGCCTTCCTCGGGCCCGTTGGCCGGGCCGGCGCTCCGGCTGCGGTGGCCTGGCCGTACCCGCCGAGGGCTGACAGGAGGCAGCTGAGCGGGGCTGGCGGGCAGTGCAGGTGGGGAGGCGATGGCTTTCATTCGGTTTCCCCGGGAGGAGGAAGGGCTGGGGTGGGGCACAGGTGTGGGCCTCCCTTCGCTCCCCTACCCTAGTCTCTCTCTGCAGGGAGATCTGAGAGGCCTCGTGGCTGCAGCTTCCTGGAGTGGGTGGGCAGTGGAGCTGGGGGCCCTGGGCCAGAGACCTTATGTTTGGCAGCCATTCATGCAGGAAAAAACAGTTGTGTTGGCGCAGCCTAACCTACACTGCCCTTGGAGTAGCCCCGCTTCCCCCTTTCCTGGGGAGCCTTTGGCACCTGCTTGCTCATGCAACCTGCTGCCTTTGCCCAAGGCAATGGCTCCTTTCCTTCTCCCTTTTCCGGAAGATGGGGAGGATGACAGCTTTTGGCCTGACCTATGTTCTTTTGGCAGAACAGTTAGAGGCCAGGCTGTCCAGGGAAGGCATCCACTTCTCTCCTCTTTCCCTCAGGAGAAAACTTAGAAACTTTCCAGTGTTAGAGGCAGAAAAGCTGGGAACCTGTTAAGTGGGTTACATCTGATTCTAAAAGTTCCTCCTTCTCGCTGTCATTACCTTATGCTGCCACAAAGTGGTGAGTTAGAGATTTGCCTGGGCTGGGTGGTTTTTACCTTCCATTGATTACTCAGAAAGTTATAGACTTAGAGCAAGGGAACGGGATTGTCTCTGGAAAGGCGATGAGGAGAAGTGCTCTGTGGTTAGCATGTTACTTCCCGCATTGCAGAGGCAAACTCGTAATTGCTTATATCTTCCTGCAGCCCTTGACACATTCAGATAAAAGGATTTAGCACTTTTTTTGGTGCTCTGGGAGAGTAGTAGAGTGGGGAAATTCTGCTGTAGACATTGAAGCTGGGTGGGTCTGTAGACCTATCACTTAATCCCATCATGCACTGGCTCTGGTCCCTGCAAGACCATCCAACCTGTGTGTGGAGAGAAAGCAGGCACATGGTCAGGGTGGAGGGCCCGGGAGATAGTTGAGAGGGATGTGAGCCAGCCCCTCATAAGAGAAGGTTTTTGAGATGGTCCTTTGTTCCATGCAATTGTTTGAAATATTGACAGACTGAGGCTGTTTGCTGTTGGGCCTACATATCTGGGAGGCCTGTTCTCTTCCACCCAGTAGGCTGTTCTCCTGAGCTGTAATGTCCTGAGTTGAGATTCAGGGCATCAACGGGAGAGAAGCTGACAGGCCTTAGGGAGGCCTCAACCAGAGCCTCTCTGCTTTTATCCACCTCACATATTGGGCTCCCAAGTAAGAATTTATTTGCAAAAAAAGTTATGCTGCTAAAATTATTACTTTGGACACCGTGGCCCAAACTGGTCAGTCTTTTCTTGGAGTGTGAGCAGAATTTGTGACTTCTTTGTATTGTGGGCAGATCACCCCAGACTCTCACCTGCAAGGCAGCTGATTAAAGAGGGTTGGCAGTACTTGGGAGGCTGGGGCTCCCTGGCCCAGGTGGGGTGGAGACAGCCACCGTCCCCTTTGCTGGAGAAGCTGAGCTGCCAGCAGACTTCTTTGGTGGTGTGTGAAGGGAGCAGATCTCCCAGCCTTAAGCCTCTCTCTCTTCCCTGGTGTGGTTTATGTCACTGTGGCAAGTGCAGGCAGAACAGAGAGAGCGCCCAGCTGAGTGTCCCTGCCTCAATCTCATGATTTCTCTCTTTTCTACAGAACCCATCATCAGGGAAGGCGGAGCCTCCCTGGCATTGTTGGCACCGTGCCTCGAAGAGCCCCTTGTCCTGTAGGCAGAGCCTTGTAGCCTGTCTTGGTTCATGACTTGGGCCATCTGACTGGTCTCTCTTCTGTGCCTTGTCTGAGGTCCTTGTCCATCCCTGATCCAGGGCTGCTTCTCTCTCTGGGTTGGTCCTCTTAATCAGGGAAACTGAAGCCATTACTCTCCAAGCCCTGTTTCATCTTCCCAAGCATGTCGGAAAGCTGGCAGCAGCCGCCACAGACGCAGCCGCAGCAGCCGCAGCCACCGCAGCCTCAGCACCACGCAGAACCACCACCAGCCCTAGCTGAGCACACGCTGCCTCCAGGCACGGCTGAGAACCCTCTGGGCTGTGCCGTCTATGGCATCCTCCTGCAGCCCGACCCCGGCCTGCAGCCCCCACAGCATGAGCCCCTGCAGGCAGCAGGTGAGCCGGGCCCCAAGTGTGGTGTGTGTGGTCACGACCTTGCACACCTGTCCAGCCCCCACGAGCACCAGTGCCTGGCAGGCCACGACCGCTCGTTCCAGTGCACGCAGTGTCTCAAGATCTTCCACCAGGCTACTGACCTCCTGGAGCACCAGTGTGTGCAGGTTGAGCAGAAGCCTTTTGTCTGTGGTGTCTGTAAGATGGGCTTCTCGCTGCTCACCTCGCTGGCTCAGCACCACAGCGCGCATAGTGGCACCGGCGGCCTGGTGAAATGTTCCATCTGTGAGAAGACCTACAAGCCCACCGAGGCTGCAGAGCCAGCAGCCACTGCTGCCCCTTCGCTGCCCCCACAGCCCCCACCTACCGTTGTCACCCCTGCTGAGCAGGCTGACAAGCCCTACAGCTGCCCCGTCTGCCAGAAGCCCTTCAAGCACCTTTCAGAGCTGTCACGGCATGAGCGGATCCACACGGGTGAGAAGCCGTACAAGTGCACACTGTGTGACAAGAGCTTCAGCCAGTCGTCACACCTCGTGCACCACAAGCGCACGCACAGCTCTGAGCGGCCCTACAAGTGCGCGGTCTGCGAGAAGACCTTCAAGCACCGCTCGCACCTGGTGCGCCACATGTACGCGCACTCGGGCGAGCACCACCTGTTCCGCTGCAACGTGTGCGAGTTGCACTTCAAGGAGTCCTCGGAGCTGCTGCAGCACCCATGCACTCCCAGCGGCGAACGGCCGTTTCGCTGCGGCGAATGCCAGAAGGCCTTCAAACGGCCGTCAGACCTGAGGCAGCACGAGCGCACACACAGTGCTGAGCGGCCCTTCAAGTGTGACCTGTGTCCCATGGGCTTCAAGCAGCAGTACGCGCTGATGCGGCACCGGCGCACGCACAAGACTGAGGAGCCCTTCAAGTGCGGGCTGTGTGAGAAGGGCTTTGGGCAGCCCAGCCACCTGCTGTACCACCAGCACGTGCACACCCTGGAGACCCTCTTCAAGTGCCCCGTGTGCCAGAAGGGCTTCGACCAATCGGCCGAGCTGCTGCGGCACAAGTGCGTGCCCGGTGCGGCTGAGCGGCCCTTCAAGTGCACGGTGTGCAACAAGGCCTACAAGCGGGCGTCGGCGCTGCAGAAGCACCAGCTGGCCCACTGCTCCCCAGCCGAGAAGCCCCTGCGCTGTACCCTGTGTGAGCGCCGCTTCTTCTCATCCTCGGAGTTCGTGCAGCATCGCTGCGACCCAGCCCGGGACAAGCCGCTCAAGTGTCCGGACTGCGAAAAGCGTTTCAAGTATGCATCAGACCTGCAGCGGCACCGACGAGTGCACACCGGCGAGAAGCCTTACAAGTGCCCCAACTGCGACAAGGCCTTCAAGCAGCGTGAGCATCTCAACAAGCACCAGGGCGTGCACGCGCGCGAGCAGCAGTTCAAGTGCGTGTGGTGTGGCGAGCGCTTCCTGGATGTGACCCTGCTGCAGGAGCACAGTGCGCAGCATAGTGCCGCTGCTGCCGCTGCTGAGGGTGCCTACCAGGTAGCCGCCTGCCTGCCCTGAGTCCCTGCCACAGTCCCCACCAGGCCAGGCCCAGCCACCTCCTACAGAGGTCCCTTCACTCAGCTCCATGTTCCGAGGCTCTGGGCATGAGGACAGAAGAGCACTGGGCAGGTGGAGGGGCCTGGCACTTCTGGTACCTGCCTCGAGGTGGGGGAGCCAGATTGCTGTGGCTGGTCCTGATTCCACAAACCTCTTTCCCATGATAGGATTCGTTTTCTTGAGAGCCATCAGCCTCCCTTGTCTTTGGGGGCCTGGAACCAGACTGGAGGGGTTGGTACCTGTCCAACCTTCCCAAGCCTTTTAGCCCAATTAGAAATCAGATGGTTAGGAAAGAGGATGGTCATGGTAGGGCCTAGGAGAAGGGCTGGACTCCAGAGGTGGGCTGGGTGTAGGGCATCCCCCTTCAGGTTGCTATCTGAGGGAGAAGGTCAGCTTCATGATGTAGTTTTTGGGACCAGGAGGGCACACCATGAGCCACAGGCCTCCCCGCCCCATCAGGCTCGCTGCTGGCCTGGCCCCCAGCGATCTTGCGTTGCCCAGATGCCCTGGATAACATCCAGCTACTTCCAAGGTCTGCTCCAGGTTTTGGATAGGTGAGATGTATAATACGGCTGCACATCTGTGGGCTGGGTGTGCCTGAGAGCAATCGGCCTAGCCAGAAGGGAGGCCGAGAAGTTCTCCAGGGAGAACACTCAGCCAGGGCCAGTGGCCACAGTGCCATCCACAGGGAAAGGAGGAAAGGCAGCCTTTGCATGGAGGTGTAATCCTGATATTTTGGAAGCGCCCCTTGCATTTGCGGCATGGTTCCAAGCTCTGGTGGGGAACGTGCTCTCAGCCAGACAGAACTGCCGATCTGAAAGAGGAGGATTATTAGACCGCCTGGTGCCCGGGAGGAGGCAGGGCCAAGCCCATGATCTTCCCAGTGGTTGTGAACAGGTGTCCTCCCCCTTGAATTGTGTGAACCAAAGTGTCAAGGGTGTGGCCTCAATCAGCTCCCAGCCTCTGCTTCAGGGCCCAGACTAGGCCTGTGTACCCATCCAGGGTGGGGCAGGTGAAAGGGCTGTGTGAATGGCCTCTGATGGCACCGAGCCCTCCCAGCCCATGGAAACCCGCCCCATCAGGCTCACTGCTGGCCTGGCCCCCAGCGATCTTGCGTTTCCCAGATGCCCTGGATAACATCCAGCTACTTCCAAGGCCTGAGAGTTCTCCCTTGGGTCCTCCTAGCACCCTCCGTGTCTCTTGCTGCCCACGGGGCTTGTCGAGCAGAAGTATTGGCATAGAGAGCAGGCGGGGGAAGAAGGTTAAGGAAATCAGTGGGTGGGTGGAGTCCACGGGTGTCCCTGGATGTCCGTCTGGAGCCCTTGGGAAGCCCAGAGGACCTTTATTATGGAAATGATTATTTTGACCCCAGCTCTGCCCCTGCCCTCCTCCAGCCCCTTTCCCTGGTCTTTGGTCTTAAAAGAAGACTTTAATCAGTGCACCAATAACCCAGAGGAGCAGGGAGCCCCACCGCGTCCCACTCCCCTTTTACAAGTCTGAAAACTGCGCGTCCACCTCCTTTATCTGACCAGTTGCCTTTCTGCGGGGCTGGTACGTCCCTCAGGAAGGACTGGCCCCAAAAGACATTTTCAATGCCTCAAAAGACATTGAACCCAGGCTGACAACAGTCCCAATGGCTAACTTTTTCTTCTCATTTTGCTTTCTAAAAGCATCTGTTACACTCTTCATAACATTGTCTATTTTAATTTCATGTCATTTTGGATCTTACACAAAAACGTGAGAATTTGGATTTTTAAAAAGAATGACTCCATTTTAGATAGCCCCTTTTGATGTTAATATATAGTGAGTCCAATGTATGCTTTAGAAGTAAAGACATTGACCATCACAGATCAAAGCACTGCGTGTTCTGGTCATTCTTCCACGGGCATGACGGGAGTGGAGAGGGAGAGGGAGGTGTGCAGGCCGGGGTGGCAGGCTTGAGATAGGGACAGAGGTTGGGCTTGGATCCTGAGTCTTGAACATTCTGGTTGTGTGACTGGGCAAGTCACTGTGTGGCTGGCTCTGTGTTCAGCCCTGCAGGGGGACAGTGGGAGGGGACCCTGTTCTCTGGGAGTGGAGCCTGTGCCCATGAACCATGGTGACAGTGGTCTGGTCACCACAGCCAGAGCTGGCCAGTATCCTGTCTGTGCCACTCATTAGTGACAAGGCTTTGGGCAGGTTGTTGGACTTCCTGAACCTTGTTTTTCTCACCTGTGAAACGGAGCCAGTAATGCTCTCTCCTGGGCTCAGGGCAAGGGCACAGTGAGATGACCTGTGTGCAGCGTTTGGCATGTAGTGGACACTCAGGAGAGCAGAGTTCTGGGAGGGGAGAAGTGAGAGGGAGCCAGCCTAGCACTCCCATCTGAGTGTCAGGGCTGTCCCCACCCCCTCCAACACCCTGTTCCCAAGACCCTTCCCTTCCACCAGCTGGCCTGAGCCTCATACTATCTCTATAAGATGGGCAGGGCAGACCTGAGCACTCCCTTTGTCCCAATTCTTGAGATATCCAGGGGCCTGGAACCGGGAGGGCTGGCCAGGTAGGCCAGGTGGGGGCCAGGTAGTGGGGCCAGGACATTCCTGGCCTCTGAACCTCACAGGCTTCCAACTCCCCCCACTGAATCCCAGGGCTCTGGCTCCAACCCACTCTTCACTGACCAGGAAGCTGGAACAATGGCTGGGACTGGTGCTGGCACTGGGTCTGGCCAGGGGAGCAGGAAAGCTCTTTCCCAATAGGCAGAGGGGGTGGCCAGCCCTCTGCTTCCTTCAGAGGTTGAAGCCGCTGTGCCCTGTCTTCCCATCTGTGCAGGGGCAGCTTTATAAAGAGCCCAGGCCTCTGTAGGTGCCTTGTAGAGGGACTTCTCTAGTCTCTAATCCTTCATCCTGACCTCTCAGGCCTCCAAACTCCCCATTCCCACCTTCAGAGTGGGCCTCAGAGAGGACCAGGGACTGCTCAGGCCTTGGAACTTTGCCCAGGGCCTCTCAGCCTGGGTCAGGATCCCTGTGATAAGGTCCGCATCTCATCCTCAAGCTGGTGGGTTTCTTTGTTCCTTGAAGGTCAGGCCTCCAGGAAACGCCTTGGGTGTTTGGAATAGCAAGGAGGCTGGTGGTGGGGTTCGTGTTGGGTATTATGTTCACACACAGGGCCAGAGTGGTAGATTGGGGCCAGGCCAGGAAGGCCTGGAGTTGAGGCCATGGAGGCTGCGCTGTCCCAAGGCAGTTGCTGCAGGGAAGATTTCTAATGTAATCTATTTATAATGAGCAAAAAAACCCCTGCAGCTGAGGGGGCTTCTAGGCCAGGAGACAGTGGCCCAGCTGGGTGAGGGTAGGGCTTTCCATTTCTTGGCCTCTGGGTGGGATTTTTAATCTGCAGACTCTCCCACTGCCAGCACTCCAAGAGAGATTTCTGGTGGGGTAGCTCCTCCTTCCAAGCCCTGGTCAAATGTCCCCACCTCCAGGAAGCCCCCTCTGGTTTCCTCCCCATTCTTGGCTTGCACCTTTCTCAAAGCAGTAAGGCAGTAGAGTGTGGTGGCCACAGGCTCAGGGGTCAGGCAGGCTGGCTTCAATTTGCAGCTCTGTCAATCACCAGCTGTGTGGGACCTTGGGCCAGTCACCTAAACTCTCTGCATCCCTTTCATTATCTGTCAGGTGGGTACAGAATTACTCACCTCATAGGGCCTGCAAAATGCTTAACACATTGCCTTGCATTTAGAAGATGGAAAGTACAGGCTAAAGTCAGGCTTGTTAATGCTCATCTGTTCCGCATTGCCTTTATCCCTGGGCACACATTTTCTTATCTATGATGTCAGGATTCAATGTACAACTGGTGGGCAAGAATCTATTCAAATTGCTGGGGTGGGTTACCCTTTAACCTTGCCAGAGACAGACACTCTACCTTAGCCTGGCCTCGCCCAGGAGTGCCCCTGGCTGTCCCCAGGACATGATGCCTTCCTTTCTGTGGGTTGGTGGACAGAAAAGGTCTGGTCCTGAAGCTATGTGGACAGAGCAGACAACTTTTTGCTTACATAATATGTTCATTGGCTGTGCCTCGCAGAGCAGGACACTTTCTTCTCTGAGTGACCTGGGGCACCTCATCTTTCTTCTACACTCTGCTTATGTCATAGGGAAGAGTCCCCAGGCCTGGCCAGACCTTCAAAGCCTGCCTCTCCTCTTTAGGGGGGCCCCAGGTGCACTGGTATGGTGAGAGAGCCTGATATGAGGTGTCTAAAAATCCCCTTTGAACCCCTTTTTTTTCTTTAGGGCTCAAGTTTATTGTCTGAGGTGGAGGGGGTGGGGCTACAAGCAAGGGACAGGGGCACAAGGAAAATCCAATTCTCAGGCCTGATTCTATACCTCACCCCCTCCCGGGCCTTGGGGTTTAGATCCTGACTCTCTACCTGGGGTCACCAGATGGTTTTCTCCAGCCCCCACCAGTCCCCCAGGAGTTGGTAGGGGGCAGGAAAGGGTAAGATATTATCATCCGCAGGTCCTGACCCTCTCCCAGCCCCTGCAAAACATCCCCCCCAACACACATACACACATAATGCGGGCCTGTTGCCTCCCTGTGGGAGCATTAGGTTTATTTCCAGTAAGGCTGAACTCTTAGGGAGATGGGGGATGCTAACATACATCCTCTGTTCAGCTGGGAAACTTGCGGCGGCATGGTCCAGCAGCCGAGGATCAGCCTCCTTTTCACAGATTAACGCCAAGGGATTAGGTAGTTGACACGACTGTGGAGAAAGAGGGGTGAGGTGGGGATCTCCATGGTATCCTGGGGAAAAATCAGGCTGTCCTCTAGGCCACCCCACAAAACCCACCTTGCCCTCAAAGCTCGGAAAACACAGCTTCCACCCCATCTCTCTGGCTCAAGAACCTTCAATGGCTCCCTATTTCCTATGATAACTTTTCAGTTTCTCTGCTTGACTTCCAAGCCCCCCTCCCTTCAATTTGTCTCATCTTTAGCTCCCTCTAATCCCCAACCATGCACTGCATTACTCATTTTCAACCCTTTAGTGAACCTACTCTGGCAAGCATCATATAGTAGTAAAAAAATAGCAAGTGTTCTCTTGGGTGTGCACGGAGTGGGTGAGAGAAGGCAAGCTTTCCATCAATAATAATAATGCAATAGTCTGTGTGCCATCAGATAGGGATACACATCCATAGTGACCAAATGGAGGGGGTTTGAGCTGGAGGGGAGAGGCAGAGGGTCAGGGAAGACTCCAAGGACGGGACATCTGGGCTGGGAAAAGGAGTTTTTCAGGCACAGAAGGATCATCTAGGTGCTGAAATAGCACAAGGGAAGGCGTGGAATGCTTGGTTGCACTGGTGGTTTGGGTCACACCAGGAGACTGCTAAAGCGTAGAGAATGGACTTGGAGAGGTGGGAGCCAGCCCAGTTACGAAGATGCTTGACTATCTCGCACACTCCAGCTGAAAACACTAGCCCCAGCTCTTACCACCTCTCTGCATCCTGGAAGACAGAAATTGGCTCTTTCCATCATGTTTCTTATATCTGTTTGTTCTCCTGGCCCCTGCTCTTCTCCCAGGTAAACTGCCGCCCCCCCCCTCCCCTTGGGAACATCAGGGACACATTGAGTGGGAGAAGCTCTGGGCTCCCTCCACAGGTGGGCTGCACTTTTGCCAGGGCGGGTCTCTGGAAGGAAGCAGCTCTCGCTCTCTCTCTCTCTGACATCATCGGGGGCTGTGCACCCCTTGGAGGCCCCCTCGCCAGGTCCCCAGGCGGAGCAGGGGTCTGAGAATCCGGGAAGCCAGAGGCCCGAGGGTGGCAAGGCCTGGTGTGGGGCGGGGACACGGGGACAGTTCCTTGCCTGTATCTGGAGCCGAAGCATCGGAAAGCATTCCTGCGAAAGAGGAAGGAGGGTGAACCCGAGGTGGGGAGGCGCACTCCCATCCTGGGGAACCTCCCTCTCTGGAAACCTCGCTGGCCCCTCGGGAGGCTCCAGGCCGCCAGAAGGATTACGCTGCACCTTCGCCCACCTAAATGCCTCCACCTCGAAAGGGTGAAGTTGCCAGGGACTGGATGGAGGACAGGGCGCTCCATTTGGTAGGAGTTAAACATTCATTCATTTTGAAATTGCGATTTTCTTCTGATCTATTTGGAGCCAACCAAATTTTTCCCAGATGTCACAGGGGTCCGGGGCCTGTGGCCTCACTTACAGGGAATCGAAAGGCAGGGGCTTCTGTCCATAGCGGTCCAGGCTGGGGTTCTGGTTGAGACAGTACTGGGCGGGGCCAGGGGGAT